TAACTAGCACCGCGCCATCTGTAGGTTGTTTTTTCCTGCACCCTCTCTATGATAGATGCACACATCAAGGCCCCCAAACAGATGGCAACATAGAGAAGTAGGCAGATTTGTCATCCATCACCAAACACTGTGAAGCCAGCGACTCTCCTCAAATCCCAAAGCACTAAATATGAAAATCATATTTCTGGGTCATAGGTTTTAACTCCAGTTTCCCCATCAGCCAAACGTGATGACTCTCGATGTGAAGAGCGTAGGGATTTTGAGCTCGCTGATACCAAACTTCCATGTTTTAAGTGTTGGGCGAGGTTTTGGCTCATTACCCATGTACAGGCCCACATGTTTCCATTGGGAACGGGAGGGATTCGGTTTCCTATCCTCTTTCTTGCTTCGTTAGTTTGTGCCGGTACATAATTAAAAGAATATCATAAGGTTCTTCCAGTGCTTCATCTCTGTTAAAGCCACATTGCCATATTGGAAACATTGGCATATTTGAAAACAACCAAGTTTCTTGTTTGTGGATGAGCTCAGATCATCACCTCAGATCGGAGGGATTAACAGTTGTTGCAAATGAGGTGGTACATATTTGAAAACAACCAAGTTTCTTGTTTGTGGATGAGCTCAGATCTTCACCTCAAATCGGAGGGATTATAACAGTTGTTGCAAATGAGATGGTACAGACTTGAAAACACCAGTGTTTGTTTCTTGATGACCTCAGAACATCACCTCATATTTGAGGGATTGACAGTTTTTGAATGAGATAAGGGTAACCCTTACAAGTCACTTGGTGACATTGTCTCTCTTAAACCACAAATGGTGTATGAATCTATCCATATACCTCTCATCAGATATGTATTTTAAAGTGAGAAGGGTGGTCTGGTAGCCTTGTGATTAAAGCATTTCCTCATTTTAAAATGAGTGAGTGAGCTTAATGTTGCTTTGACCAGTATTTTATTTATATCAAAACATAGAAGTTATGCAGATCACTCATGTTTAACTCTTAGTGGAAATCTGCAAGCATTTGAATATTGATTTTAGTGATATGCAAACAATCGACATTCAGACTCAAATACCATTTTAACACCAACTTTACACATTGAACCAGGATCTGGTGGTCAAATCCCACACTGATTATAACCCTTGGTCTATCTGTAATATTCAAACGTTTATTAGTTTCAGCAAATAGGGAAATATTAAAGAGAATGTACATTTTTAAGAAAAGTATTCTTCTAACAACTAATTGTACATGATAAATGAATTAAGAAGTCAAAATCTCATCACATGCACTTACAATACATGTCATTTTCTTCATCCAAGTCATTTTTACTTTGGGATTCTCATGAAAGCTATCAAGTTTCAAAGGCAAGACAGCCTTTTTTCAACCATAACAGATTCTAATCACTAAAATGTTTACTCAGTGTTGCCATGGAAACTGATAGTTACTCAAAATGTTTGATTACAGACAAGACAACTATCCGTTGAAACTGACATTAAAACAGAAATGACAGAAAACAACCCAATTTGATTAAGTCATATGTTCTAGCTTTGTATCAGATAGTATTGTCACTATTACTGAACAAGTATTCAACAATCAAAGAGATGTAAATTGTCTGTCTGGGGTTGGAAAATCCGGTGTTTAAACGTCCACGGTTCATACTGCATGTCTACTCCCAAATATATTAGTTACACATCACTTTGCTTGGATAGATCTAATTATATAATCATCAACATTGTCCGACCATTATTTTCACATTTAACTAAAACTGTTAAAATGGTGATAGTTTCCCCAGAACACATTAAATATGGGTTCACAGAGAGAGTATAGTCAACATGTACACAATATGTACTGGCACACGGTACAACACGTATCATGCAGTGGAACCAAATTGTTTCCTCTCCAAGACGCAAGCACCAAGAGAACCTCTAATACTGTGTGATATCATTATTTATACAACATGACATGCTTCAAGGACTATTTACATTGAATAGTGATGGTGTAAATAAAAACACATGTTAGGGGCTCATAGTTTGTAAAGAGCAACCCATAAATCAGTGTTATCTATGTAGGAACCACTTCAAAGCTTCATGGAGGATGGGTGATATTCAGTGAATGTGTACATAGCAGAACAGGGGTGGGTGGGGACAGAAGGTTGGAGGGTGAGGGAAAATTGTAGTTGGGGGTGGGGAAAGGGGTGGAAACTGAAAATTGGACGGTTGGGGAGAGCAGGTTTGAGGGTGAAGGAAATCTGTAGGAGATGGGGAAGGGGGTGGGGGAGGTCAGTTTAGAGGAAATCCATAGAAGGGGTGGGGAAGGGGTTGGAATCGGACAACAAGTGCTTGTGACTTTACAGCAATGTATGGGCTGTATGTCTCTCTGTTTCCAATAACTTGATCCTACAACATTCAAGTTTTCTTAAACCATCATCAGGTTCTGTTGTGAGACATTTTGATATTCAAAATATGTTCCTAACTGACAACTTGTTTCAAACTGCAAATCTCCTTCTGACACTTCCAACTTATTCCCTAACCAGCAAATCCCCTGATTCTGTGATTTTGTGATCACATCCCATAAAGCTTTGCCCCAATATCTCTCATGCTCTGAGGAGCTGGTATCAGACATTCAATCTGGGCCCAACTTAAAAATCTGTTTTTGATCTCAGGGGCAATAAGTGAAGTGAAAATCTTGCTAAGCGTTCCATCAAAAACATGCAATCTGTTTCACAATCTACAGTGCAGGAAAAAGATCTGGTCCTAGTCAAACACCCTGCTATATCTACCCCCTGCTTGTTATGACCTGATAGGCAGTAGACATGCCAGTCAATGCAGGTCTTGTCATGACCTGATAGACAGTAGACATACCAGTAAGTGCAGGTCTTGCCATGACCTGATAGACAGTAGACATGCCAGTCAGTGCAGGTCTTGCCATGACCTGATAGACAGTAGACATGCCAGCCAGTGCAGGTCTTGCCATGACCTGATAGGTAGTAGACATGCCAGTCAGTGCAGGTCTTGTAGACAGTAGACATGCCAGTCAGTGCAGGTCTTTACACAGTAGACATGCCAGTCAATGCAGGTCTTGTCATGACCTGATAGGTAGTAGACATGCCAGTCAGTGCAGGTCTTGTAGACAGTAGACATGCCAGTCAGTGCAGGTCTTTACACAGTAGACATGCCAGTCAATGCAGGTCTTGTCATGACCTGATAGGCAGTAGACATGCCAATCAATGCAGGTCTTGTCATGACCTGATAGGTAGTAGACATGCCAGTCAGTGCAGGTCTTGTAGACAGTAGACATGCCAGTCAGTGCAGGTCTTTACACAGTAGACATGCCAGTCAATGCAGGTCTTGTCATGACCTGATAGGCAGTAGACATGCCAGTCAATGCAGGTCTTGTCATGACCTGATAGACAGAAGACATGCCAGCCAGTGCAGGTCTTGTCATGACCTGATAGGTAGTAGACATGCCAGTCAATGCAGGTCTTGCCATGACCTGATAGGTAGTAGACATGCCAGTCAATGCAGGTCTTGCCATGACCTGATAGACAGAAGACATGCCAGCCAGTGCAGGTCTTGCCATGACCTGATAGACAGAAGACATGCCAGCCAGTGCAGGTCTTGTCATGACCTGATAGGTAGTAGACATGCCAGTCAATGCAGGTCTTGCCATGACCTGATAGACAGAAGACATGCCAGCCAGTGCAGGTCTTGTCATGACCTGATAGACAGAAGACATGCCAGTCAGTGCAGGTCTTGCCATGACCTGATAGACAGAAGACATGCCAGCCAGTGCAGGTCTTGTCATGACCTGATAGACAGAAGACATGCCAGTCAGTGCAGGTCTTGCCATGACCTGATAGGTAGAAGACATGCCAGTCAATGCAGGTCTTGCCATGACCTGATAGACAGAAGACATGCCAGCCAGTGCAGGTCTTGTCATGACCTGATAGGTAGTAGACATGCCAGTCAATGCAGGTCTTGCCATGACCTGATAGGTAGTAGACATGCCAGTCAATGCAGGTCTTGCCATGACCTGATAGACAGAAGACATGCCAGCCAGTGCAGGTCTTGTCATGACCTGATAGGTAGTAGACATGCCAGTCAATGCAGGTCTTGCCATGACCTGATAGGTAGTAGACATGCCAGTCAATGCAGGTCTTGCCATGACCTGATAGACAGAAGACATGCCAGCCAGTGCAGGTCTTGTCATGACCTGATAGACAGAAGACATGCCAGTCAGTGCAGGTCTTGCCATGACCTGATAGACAGAAGACATGCCAGCCAGTGCAGGTCTTGTCATGACCTGATAGACAGAAGACATGCCAGTCAGTGCAGGTCTTGCCATGACCTGATAGACAGAAGACATGCCAGTCAGTGCAGGTCTTGCCATGACCTGATAGACAGAAGACATGCCAGCCAGTGCAGGTCTTGTCATGACCTGATAGGTAGTAGACATGCCAGTCAATGCAGGTCTTGTAGACAGTAGACATGCCAGTCAGTGCAGGTCTTTACACAGTAGACATGCCAGTCAATGCAGGTCTTGTCATGACCTGATAGGCAGTAGACATGCCAATCAATGCAGGTCTTGTCATGACCTGATAGGCAGTAGACATGCCAGTCAGTGCAGGTCTTGTCATGACCTGATAGGCAGTAGACATGCCAGTCAGTGCAGGTCTTGCCATGACCTGATAGGCAGTAGACATGCCAGTCAGTGTAGGTCTTGCCATGACCTGATAGGCAGTAGGCATGCCAGTCAGTGCAGGTCTTGCCATGACCTGATAGGCAGTAGACATGCCAGTCAATGCAGGTCTTGCCATGACCTGATAGGCAGTAGACATGCCAGTCAGTTAAGGTCTTGTCATAAAATGGACGCTCACAACATCAGCTAAATCACGAGATCCCCAAGTACGTATATACAACCATGAATCATAACTGAGGCAAATCCTGTCACATGATCCTGTTTAGCAGATCCTGGCATTGCTAAGGGAAGGAAGCAAGTCACCTACCTGTAGAGTTCCCCAGACGGGTGCCGCTACTGTCCTCGAGGTAAACTTTTGGGGGGTTAGGAACGTCGACCGGGGAGGAACAAGGTATGACAACCATCCCACTCTCAGCAGCAGTGATAGCCAAGACTGGTTTAACCGGGAAGGAGCCCACTTCTGGAAAACAATCAGTTTCATGGTGTATAAGACAAATATGACATCTCCTCTTGTGTATCACATACTGGACATCACACATCACACAATATATATCTATGGGCACAGTGACATTGAGCTGACACTGTTTAAAAACTGTACAGATCATAGTCTTTATATATCCTTTGATGAATAAAACTTGTGAATAAAATATATCATTAACTGCTAATCTTCATCCCCCCAACATCTAGTCTTCCTAATTTCTCACTGGACCATCTTCCCGAGGCAAGGGCGTTAACTGACAATAAAATTCCAGTTTCCACCCTTGGTAAACTAGGCTGGAACTTCCAGGTTCGATCAAAGTGCCACCAGTGGCTATTACAAGTTATGTCCCTTCCATGTCCCTCCTATTGACCAATCAGATTCCATCTCTCATAAAACTTGCATTTGCTTAAAAAAATGACCGTGCCCAGTCAAGACGTTCTGATTGATGATAAAGATATTTATTGTAATACAACCCTGTGAAGTGCATCAAATCCCTTGAGCACCTTGATTAAAATCATGTAAAAATTTGTAAAATAATAGTCGACACCCATCGAAAGTCCACCTTTGCCAAACTTGGTTACATTTTGGCTGGACGAATGATTGGTTGGTTGGATGCTTGGTTGGTTGATTTGTTGTTTGACGGCAGTCTGTAAATAATCAAGTCTGGACAAGACAATCCAGTGATTGACATCTATCCACACAATTGGGATCAATGACATGCATCAACCAAGTCAGCAAGCCTGACCACCCGATCCCACTAGTCGACTCTTACGACAAGCATAGTCACCACTGGATTAATGAGTCAATGCAGAGTCCAGTCAAAATCCTGTATCCAACTAGACATCCAGTTTGTAAACAACATGGATCTCAACGTCCAGATTTTGGTTGACTGCAGGATTTGCAACACATGTCAAACCAAAATGTAACTCTGGAATTCCAGCCAAGTTTGGCAAAGGTGGAAGCTGGACTGTCATAGTCAGTTAATGGGTAGTCGAAGGGGATCAGTGGGCCTAGTTTGATGCCCCACATGGGTACAAGACCTGTGAAGATCCAGGGTAGAATAGGTCATTGCCGTAAAAGGTGACTATGCTTGTCGTAAGAGGCGACTAACGAGAGTGGGTGGTCAGGCTTACTGACTTGGTTGATGCATGTCATCGATCCCAATTGTGTGGATTGATGCTCATGATATTAATCACTGGATTGTCTGGTCCAGACTCGATTATTTACAGACCGCTATCATATAGCTGAAATATTGCTGAGTGCGGCGTTAAACAACAAACAAACATGGGCACAATGTTTGAAGCCAATTCTGGTGTCCCCTGCCAGGGTCATTAACTGAAAGCCCCAAACAGAACATTCTAAATCCAAAATTACATCAGAAATTAATCTATAACATATGTACTTGTCTCCTTCACACCAGGGGCTGTCCGGTAGCCTAGTGGTTAAAGCATTCGCTCGTCACGCCAAAGACCCGGGTTTGATTCCCGTCATGGGTAATGTGTGAAGCCCATTTCTGGTGTCCCCCACCGTGATATTGCTGGAATATTGGTAAAAGTGGCGTAAAACCATACTCGCTCACTCCTTCACACCAGCCACTACACTTTATCAAATCAACTCAAAGGAGATATCCGAAATCTTAAACTACAACCATTCTATTCCAACAGAACAGACTGCCGCCACCAACTTATCTCAAAAGTATAACATAATGAATGTCCCATCTACAACAAAGCGTTCTCTCAACAACACTTTTTTAATAACACTATCTTAAATTGTCATTACCAGGGGGAGACAACTCTACTAGAACAAAAACTTGACAGTGTACACACTGAAAATACACTGTGGTTCCTCACTCGAATCTAACACAACAAACTCTGCCTCTATTTCATTCAGCTTGTTACAGAGCACATAAGCAGTTTTTAATACCCCTGGTGTGTTGAAGAAAGCGAAATTCAATACAAGCCCGTGGCCTTAATGTTTTTCCTGAGCGGTTGCCAGGACAGCCATTTTTCCCTTTTCCAGGCTGCATCCTATGCTTAGCCGCCTGTACTCCAAGACCCCAGCAGTAAAGGCACCATGTACATGTGGGGGATATATGTCTCCGTTAGCCCGGCCTTACAGTAATACGGAAACACAATGTTAAGAATAACCCCAAAAAACAAGTACAAAATGTTGTTAAATAAATACATTATAAGCTCGCATAGCGGGAATATCTACACAGATCGGTGCCATCTTGAAGCCAGAAGGGAGATTCGGCCAGTGAAAGCAGGTGGAACGATGTCGGCTTTCGTCTCCCCACCCTTCCTTTCCCTACCCCAAACCTGGACGGATCATGTTTACCTAAATCCCAAATATCCCAGGTGGGGACCAGGTGTAAGTGAACATTTCTACACATAATGTGTCAAAATATATACATAATCTACACTGCCGAGCTTGCCGAAGCCACGATCTTGCTGCCTGGCGACCTTTCAGGGTTCCTGTAATGTTGCCGATCTGTTTGTTTCTGCGGACATTTAGCATCCAAACATGAAAATAATCACGGAGGGGGTAGTCTTCTCTTAAGGTGTTTTGCTACACACAGGTCTTGTATTGGAATCCGCTAGGGGTCAGAACTTGATAACTCTTCTGACATATATCCTAAATTGCACGTCTACCTCATACGACAGAAAGTTGGAAAATGTTTGGCTTAGCTTATAAACATTAAATATTGATGCTTTTTGTTTTTCATTAACAAATAATCATGTTCCCACTGGAATCATTAATTAAACTTTAAAAGTTCAAATTCAAAGAAGTAGAACTTGATATTGAGCGCCATCTATCACTTCCTGCGTAGAGTTACTTCCCTTTGAATGGCTGCTCTTAGTGTATGTTCGGAGGTCAGGTGTAGTAATTAAGTCCAAGTTTATAACACTACATTAAGTCTTTTACAGCGTTACTTTTTACCTCGTTCACATTATATATCTTAGCAACAAAAAAAGACCCAAACTACCAATAACAATCTCACAAAACCATTTGAAAGTATCTAAACAATATGCCCACTGCAAAAATCCCCAACATAATGTGCTCACTTAAAATGCAGCTAGAAATAATATTTATCAAGGAAATTAGTCAATTATGTCATTTTTGAAATAATAAAATCTCCCCAACCAAATTATGAAAATATTTCTACAAGGTCTTCACCTCTGTTTACAACTGGCACATGGGGGTCGGAGTGGACATCATGTTCCCATCATCACCACCAGGCTCTGTACCAATGTAGGTTAAACCAACAGCCACAGCACAGAGAGCAATAGTCATCCACAGCAAATCATTAAAGCCGATCATCTCGAAAGACGGCCATTAGAACAACTACATGCTACCACTTCAACCTGTACGCAAATGTCTTTTTCATGACAGCTCTTCAGATTCGGAAAGAAAACTCAACAATAGGTACAACTACCCATAATCCCTGATTTCTCGAACCAGTGAATGTTTGCTCAATTAGGGTTTGAGGTTTCAGTAGAAATTCAAAACAGATTATGCGAACGGTTTGTTTTTGATGTGGGTATACCGCAATCTTCCTAATTTCAAAAGCAGTTCTTCTCGCCTCCGAGATAGTCGACTGCAAGGGATCTGTACTGGGAGATGTTTCCAATTTTGACAGAACGTTCTCATTAGTGTCAAAGCCAAGCTTTTTTCTCTTACACTCAGTATGAGAACGATGTATTCTGTAACTCTCTGCGGTATTAGTTTCAGGGAGCTGATTTTCTGGCCATCTTTGTTTGTGATAATATGAAGCAACATTAGCATTTATTGGGATCTTAACACCTTCCTCTTGGAAAAAGCTGGGTTAAAAGGCACACTAAAACACGATAATTGACCCGACTATTTTTTATGTCCATATCCAATTTTTGCATCAGTATCCAGTTTTTACATCAGTTTTTATTTTGTAAGAAAGAAAAGACATTTAAGCATCAAATAACTTAGTGTAACATCCACTAAAACATGGTAATGGATTAGTTTTAGTTTTCTTGAATCAGTCGGAGTGTTTCTTTACTCTACAGAGCCATAACATCTCATGAGCATGCTGACTGACCGTTCCACATAGGAACATAATCATGTTTTAATGTGGACTGGCAACATAGAGGGGCTATTTAAAGCTAATACATTCCCATAAAAATATGCAAAGTTACCGATAAAAACCGATCACACTTATTTTTTTAGAGTTTACAGGCATGTTTTGGGGGATTTTTTAAAATATAATAAACAATGATTTATGTTGCAGAGCATGATTTCCATCCTGATAACATCTTCCTGTATGCAGGGTGCATACTTCAAGATATGCTTAGGGTTAAAAGATGGTGTTACACACATGCTCAGTTGGGGCTACTCTTTCACACACAGTTCTTAACATGGAAAAATAATTAAATTCTGCTGACAGCTTATCACATCAATAACCTTTAACCTTTGTCTACAGCAAAAAGCAGAAGTGATAAACTTCTCCCTTCTGGTGCAATTCCATTAAGATTTGTTCAAATACATGTTCTGGAAGAATTAGTAACTTCCTGCTCAGAGTGATGGCCTTGGAGCGGGGGGAGGAGCAGGACGTCGGGACCAGGATTTCTCCATCTATCGTTCTATTGATGAATATTCTATGACCTTGCGCTAAGATATTCAACTTTTGTACAGTATGCTCTCATGCTAAGATGGTCATCTTTCATCTTGCTCTCACACTAAGAATGTCACCTTTCATCCAGTATGCTCTTACACTAAGATGGTCATCTATCATTCAGTATGCTCTTAGGCTAAGATGGTCATCTCATCCTGTATGCTCTCTCGCCAATGTGGTCATCAATCATCCAGTATGCTCTCACGCTAAGATGGTCATCTATCATCCAGTATGCTCTCACGCTAAGATGGTCATCTTTCATCTTGCTCTCACACTAAGAACGTCACCTTTCATCCAGTATGCTCTCACGCTAAGATGGTCATCTATCATCCAGTATGCTCTCATGCTAAGATGGTCATCTATCATCCAGTATGCTCTCACGCTTAGATGGTCATCTATCATCCAGTATGCTCTCACGCTAAGATGGTCATCTACCATCCAGTATGCTCTCACGCTAAGATGGTCATCTATCATCCAGTATGCTCTCACGCTAAGATGGTCATCTATCATCCAGTATGCTCTCACGCTCAGATGGTCATCTATCATCCAGTATGCTCTTACGCTAAGGTGGTCATCTATCATCCAGTATGCTCTTACGCTAAGACACGTGGACTGCTACCCTGAGAAAGTGATGTCACACAATTGTTTGTTTCTTACTTAACACAACATTCAGCAAGATTTCAACTTTTTCTAACAGTGGCCAGTAGTCAAGCCAGACAATCCAGAGATTAAAATTATGAGCAACGATCCACCCAGTAATCAACCAAATCACCGAGCCTGACCATCCGATCCAGTTCATCGCCTCTTACGAAGACCTTTTCTGACCCAGATCTTCACAGGTCTGATCATTAACTAACTCATTTGGAGTACCATATTCGACGTAATAAGCGCCCAGGGCGCTCTCAAAATTAGAAATAGGGGGCTCTTATTAGAATGTTATTTTAGTGAAAAAAACAGAGTTGAAAGATAAATTTCATGGTTTATGCTGACAGCCTGAAATGTTTATGTACGACAGATATATTTTTCCAGATTTAAATGCCCATAATTATAGGTGCATATAACACACGAGTGCGTATTATACGCGAATAAATAAGTCTTGTGTACATTGATCAATCGGAAGGGGAGCTAATTGGGATTGTTCACTAGCCAATATCTTAGCAAATGTGGACGTGGGCACTTAATAGAGCGGGGCGCTTATTACGTCGAATACGGTAATAAAACTTGTTAACTCACCTGGAGGTCGGAGTACCACCAGAGGGATGCTGATGATGGATCCGGCAACGGCTGACGCCACACAGTGGTATATGCCTTCATTTGATGAGTATTCAAAATTGTTAAAATATAAATTGTCTCCCCTAAACTCCAATCCATTGTGGTCTTCCTGTTTCAAAAGCTTGCTGTTAAACAGCCATTTCACTGTGGCATTTGGAGGTGTCACCTCACAATATATTGTCACTGGGGCATGATGGGATATCACAGAAGTCTTTGGTTCCCTCAGAAATGCCGGCACTGCACCTGGAAAATAAAATCAAACAAATGTTAAATAAAAAGTATACACAATTTAATCATAATGTAATAAGTATAGCATTTGTTTTATTTATCTCCTCGTCTTGATGCTATCTTTATACAGTGAAACCCTCTTTACACAGTAAAACCCTCTTTATACAGTGAAACCCTCTTTGCACAGTGAAACCCTTTTTACACAGTAAAACCCTCTTTAGTGAAACTCTCTTTACACAGTGAAACCCTCTTTACACAGTGAAACCTCTTTATACAGTGAAACCCTCTTTATACAGTGAAACCTCTATACAGTGAAACCCTCTTTACACAGTGAAACCTCTTTATACACTGAAACCCTCTTTATACAGTGAAACAATCTTTACACAGTGAAACCCTCCTTATACACTGAAACCCTCTTAATACACTGAAAATCTATTTATCTCACACTAATGTTTCAAGTGAAATCATCCCGACTAACAAATTTCCAGTTTCACAATCCAGACTTTTTAAAATCCTCGTTGACAGGTTGTTAGATGAACTTTTTATGGATATAGAATCAACCTGTTCTGAAAACCAGTTTAGAAAGAAATAACCTATCCCTCAACCTTTTCATTCCTGCTATTCCTGCCAGCTAGCGACAGTTGAAGAAACTGTCCCCCGTAACTGTCCCTAGAGGTGGTCAAGTTAACAACATGTACTAATACAGTCAAGTCTCGTTAATCCGACACTTGTTAATCTGACAATCAGCTTTATCCGACACTAATGATGGGAACCAACTAAATCAGTGCTATTTAGACCCATTAATCCCACAGTCTTGCACTCCGACTGCGACTCACCTAATTTGCAACAAATTACCGAAATCACTCATTAATCAGTCATGTTATCTGACACAGTGACCAGCGTACTCTGTGGTCATCTGCCCGTGAGTACACAGCCCGTGTTTTGATGCGAGACAAGTCGGCTGGTAGCTGCATATTACAACGGCTGCAGTGATAAACTTCCTTAACAATAAACAATTATTGTTTTAAATTTACCCTTAGAGGTTGCATGAAAAATAAAAAAATTCCGTTAACAATGTAACATAACCTTAGAAATATTTCTTTTTTCATTTTTCCATTACATGTTTATATTGTTATCTATCATGTAGTTTTTCATGATTTTTTATCACAAACATTGATACTACTTAATTTCGTGCATCCCACACTCATTAATCCGATCATATGCAACCATCCTTGTCAGATTAACGGGACTTGACTGCACTTTAAGGATTTCCAATTCTTACAGTTGCTTATGGAAAGCCAACACTCAAGACGACAAAAGCATAAAAATAACAATAAAAAAGCTGTAGTTTATTCTATTTCAATAATATTACATTTTTTTATTTTTTAAAAAACTGTTTAATAGTTTCTGAAATCTGTGAAATGTGTGAACACAAAACTTAACTTTTTTTACGACAAAACCTTAAAACAAGAACGAAACATGCCATCAGCAAGTGTAGAAGTCCACACGGTCAACAAGCACATTGAGACCCATTTCTCAATTTCTGTGTTTGACTGACAGATGATACAACAACATGAAATACAAGATTTTGACCACAAATACACGAAGCAGCTGATTGGTCAGATGTGACGAGCCAGCGACCTATTTGAAGCAGGGAGACCAGTCCCATGATTTCCACAACCTGAACTAACTCCATGGTATTTACCAGGCAATGGCTTCATGACAGGACAAACAAGGAATCCAATGAGCTGAACTGTCGGGGACCTTTCAGAAAGACACAGTGCTCCCTTTTTCTCAATATCCTCTTGCTTTTCCAACTGTGAAAGTAGGCACAGGTCACTAGTCATTCATACTGCTTGCTAGCATACCCAAGCATTCAGCTTGTGCAAAATCCCAACCATTTCCCCTAATAGTCTGTGGGCCTTGTCAAAAATGGGGAATTCTTAAAAGATTCAGTCAAGCAGTCTTCTACGTTATTACTTCAGGCTGACAACCTCACAAAAGCCGCCCATGTTAAAACTGGCCGACACAATGGCCGATTTCGGGGCAGTTCTTCACCATTCATTCCCTCCCTTCCCCCTTCAAGATGCAAACATGGGCGCACAGAAAACCTACGATTTACTCATTCGCATATTCCACCAGTGAACCGTGCTCAGGCCAGAGAAAATCACCAGTCTGGTTGTCACAACCCCCAATTTCCAAAACAGTAACGTCCTATCGGAAATAATAAGGACAAATCAAGGGGGATAATTTGCCACGGGGATGATTGCCTCTCCCAAGAATTGTAGTGCTAATTGGAGACTTGTCCTGCCGTACAATCGTGCCAAGTCACGTGAAAACCCTGTTGGCTCGATTCTATATCACCTTCACCTCAAAGCTCTTCGCATTATAGGTTCACACAATTAAAAAAGATTTTCACTCAACTGATGCGTAAACGTGAATTTCCGTATTTTGAAACCCCTTTCAGACAAACCGTTTTACAAAAAAAGTCGACTCAGCCTTCCGTGTGGTCTATATTGTAACCATAGCAACCAGTAGGCCCATCTTAACAAATGGTGTAATTCTCGGCTCGTGTGCTCGCTTCTGTGGAGGATATTCCCCAATGGAGGACTCGCACAGCCACCTTCTCCTCGTCCATGGACACAATAAGCGAGTAGAGGGATTTCGAGTTCTTTTGTCGCCAGTGAATTCCCCTTGACTTTTGACAATCCAAAAACATTTCAAAAGCTCAGCGGGAATGCTCGTACCAAGAACACAGTTACTATGGACTAACTCAGAGAGCATTATCAGTTTCAGTGTAGACAAACCAGTGAAGTCTTTTGCTTCACGTCTTCAATTACAGCAGCTAACAACAGCCTATTGTGTAGGAAAACTTAGCAATATGATAAAGTCCCCTCTTCGTTGTCTCATCACCATTCAAACATTCTCCAAATTTGACTCATTATCTCGACTCAGTGGTTTGAAAACCTGAGGTATTAATAATGAAGGCCCTTTCTTCGTCTGTGAGAAAAACGAAAGTTTCGGGAGAGGAGGCAGCACGTGCGCTCCCTGACTCATACCAAGCCAAGGCCATGTGTATAATAATCCGTAAATTTTTAAGATACCCATGTTGAAATTTCCAAAATCAAACTGATATACAAGATACAGATGGAGAACATCTTCTAGAATCATCCAAAACAAATGAAAGCAAATATATTACACTCTTTCAGATACAGAAGAACACTAAAACCTTATCAACAAATAAAGCGACAAAACCCTTTCCATATCCAATAGAAATCTCAGCATGAAGCAGAGACGATTGTATGATTCCGACTATGCTATGAGCATGTGTATATGAATCACTATCAAATAGTATAATGATACCAGGTGTTCGCGAAAAGGTGAGCGAATCCTGTCCCACCTGTTGCATCCCTCAAGCAATATAAATTTTTAAAACACTGATGTACCTGCACCAAAGCCTTGCCTTGAAAGACTAAAGAATACGTAAATCTTAATCGATACTCCAGTTTCTGAATGAAACTTAAAGATATTTTGACTTTGACTCTTGAGTGTTTCATGGGTGGACGGACGAGTGAGTGGATGGGAGGGATTTGGTACATTTACCACCTTGCTGAAACCCACAAGCATAGGTATGGTGCTACCAAACCAAAAAACATTAAGATGAATCTGGGATTCAAACTCTCTCCTGAGGGACATAACACTGCCAGTTATTTGTGGCACCCCAGTCAACTGGACCACGCGTCCCTCCCAGGTATTGCATAATAGGTCTTCAGAAACCCATACTTGCCGTAAAAGGCGACTATGCTTGTCGTAAAAGGCGACTAAAGGGATTGGGTGGTCAGGCTCGCTGACTTGGTTGATGCATGTCAACGATCCCAATTGCGTGGATCGATGTTCATGATATTAATCACTGGATTGTCTGGTCAAGACTCGATTATGTACAGACTGCCGTCATATAGCTGGAATATTGCTGAGTGCGGCGTTAAACAACAAACCAACCAACCAAACCAAGCATAATGCAGCATCAGCATCACTGAGGCAATTCTCTGATAAATCAGTGAAATGATAAAATCAAACAGGCCCCAAGGACTCAGAATAGACAATTAGTTGGACGTCAACATTTTTATCTGAAAATGGGAGCTGCCAGGGTCACTTTAGTTTCCATTTTCCCAAACCAAACCCTTTCATGTGAAGGTGTGAAGTGCGATATGAACTCCAACATTTTCATTTTTTTTAAATGAAAAGACTGGAATAATCAGCTAGTGTTTTAAAGGGTTAAAAGCCACTTTTCAACAACTGCACTGGTGTCTCGGATGTGATGGTGGTGCACTAGAAGGAGGAATTCTCCAGATAGCTCGGCAGCCATTAACTCAATGATTGTATAATGAATATGGGCGATTTATGAGGAGTTCCTGTCACATAAAGCAGAGGATTGTGGGAAGGCACAAAGAAGCTGTGGTATCCATCACTCTGGGCTGCCACAGCTTTGATGTTGCAGCAGCAACTGGCTCTTTAACTTCAAACCTGGAGAGTCTAAAACACCACCCTGACAGTGTATTGGGAGATGCGATCACTTACTAGGGAAATTAACACAGTCGCCATCACAAATATTACACAATGTGTGCATGCTAGTACGAACATGGATAAACTTCAGACACCTCAGAAAGTGTCTCCTCTACCCTGTGGGAAACCACAAATTGGTACCTTTCCAAAGGGGGATCGATGCATCTTGAAATCAAACAGACCCTTTGCTCATTTTTGGATTTGTGCTTCATGTTTGTTTGTTTGTATAACACAGCACTCGGCAATATTCCACTTACATGACTGTGATAGACATCATGAGCATCGATCTACCCTATTGGGATACGATGACATGCATCAACCAACTCAGTGAGTCTGACCACCCGATCCCATTAGTCGCCTCTTACGTGGGTTGCTGAAAACCAATTTTACGCCGATCTTCATGGAGGTAGACCAGCATGGGTTGCTGAAGACCAATTCTATCCCGGATCTTC